TGTCTAAACTTTCATCAAATTAAAACAATAAGTTTTTGACTTTAAGCTCAAGAAAACTTGGGTTATGCGACAAAACAATAATTGAAAGCAAGATTTTAAAAATATTACTGAACCAAAAGTTTTTCTAAGAAACGAAACAAAAAAAATTCTAAACTAAGTAGTAACTATGAGACCAGTAGAGTAACATGAAAAAAAGCTTAAAAAAAAACAAAAACAAAAAAAAACATAAAGTGGACAAAATATAAGTATTTCTGCAAGAGTTTGTAAAAATTCCTCTACAGAAAAGCAGAGGAAATTTCTCTTAAGAGGTTAAATAAAATGTAACCTCATCTTAGCCTGATATTACAATTTACCAAAATATACTCAGAAAAACTGCACCCAAATCGGTGCCATTTTTTAAATTGATCAAATTAAGTTAAATTAATACAGTTTTAAAAGTGCTACATATGCAATAATGTCTTACAAAGCATGTTTAACCACACGTGGTTTGGAAACGTCTTATAAATTTGCATATTATGGCCCGTCATGTACAAACTGAACGTTCACCGCAGCCGTCAGTCCCTCAGTCTTGTTTTCATTTTGAATATTTTTAGCGGCGGGGAGAGAAAAATGTCCGCAGTTATTCACAAAGTTTCAAAAGACTTCAGACATGCAGAACCAAACCTGATCAGCACCGACCCCCGGTTCGTTTGGAGTCATGATAACAACAGTAACATAGAAACATTTCCTGGCTGCACAAGGCGCCGCGCCGCTTCTCTTACCAGAGGAACAGCTTTGAAAGCAGGTTGGCGGTGGCCAGCGGGTTCCTGTTCCTCCTGCCTCCTCTCTCCGGGTTCTCCATGCTCGGACTGTCATCGGCTCCGCCGGCTGCGCTCCTGTCAGACCCTGGAGCAAATCGCTGACAGGACACGCAGGCGGAGACTCAGCCTATAGGCTCGCTGCGGCTGCGCCTTTGCAGTCAGCTGGTGCGCAAACGGCGCAGCGCAAACACGAGGAAAGCTGGGAGGGAAAGTGAGGTTGTTTACCTCGGATAATCAGCTTCGCTTTCGGTTGTTTTTACTGAGGCGAACTGCGGATTCTGGGTTCGTGTTTACATATTTCAGATCATGTGACCCGAGTCCAGCCAATGACTGCGGTCGTGACAATCACATGAGAAACGCGTTTGAGTTTTAAAACGCGACTTCAGGCTCAGAATAGGAATATTTTACACAGGTCTTCTGATGACACCAAAAACATGAACACTGACAAAAATCCTTTTTTTAAGTGCTTCATCCCTGTGTTGCACTTTTTTTTAGAGCCACATGTGTACATTACACTCTTTATTATTCTTTATTATTCGTGCTAAAGTCCTATAGTTGTTTGATAATGTAAAGTTGCTTGCAGCCAAAAAAAAAAACATACTTGGACCTTTTCTATTTTAGGACCTGATAAAGCTGATTGTTCTCCACATCTGCAGGGAGACATTACATCCTGTCCCATCATAAACTTTCCTGAACAGCTGGCTCACACGTCATCAAAGCTTCAGCTGAACGAATCTCCACTACTGGACTCTGTAATCTCACCTTGTGAATCTGAGGTCCTGCAGAGAATCCCATATTAACAGATCCAGGTCAATATCTGCTCATGGAGGCAATGTGTGAAATATCTGAACCTGAATGAAGGTATTAATAAACTTTACACCAGATATGTGTAATAAATTGAAAAGGCATGTTCTGAAATGAAATGTATCCACATTACTTTGGTTCTGGTTGCGACATAAAAAACTGTTCTGCAAAGTCAACTTCTGAGAATAAAATGACAGGACTGTGTCGGTCAATTGTAACATCACTACAGGTTGTACATATCGCCCTGACTGCTTCAGCTGTGCAAATACCTGCAACCTGACGTGAGGAGGCCAGGAGTGATTACAGCAGATGTGTTGTGACATATGGAGCTCTGTGAGGTCTGATGTAACGTGACTTTAAGACAAGAGGACGTCTTAATGAGCTCAAACTGAAATACCTGCAGTGTAGGTTCTGTCCTAACAAGTTATTACATACGAGACGATCCCTAGACGCTCCGCTCCTCCAGGAAAACGTCTCCTCAAGCTGAAAAACAAAGATATTAAGAGAACAGTTTCGTCTCTTAGTTCTTACTTTGTTTAAACCATTTATTACACTTTAATTGAGGGAGTTTATAACTAGTGATTTTATTCATGATAGCGTTTGACTTACTCTCTCTTATTTTCCTATAAATGAGTCCAAATGTGATGAACTGTATTTACTGCAGACATCTAAAGGATTCATACAGCTTCAACATTTTGGTAATACAAAGTCTTTTTAATTTATATTTTGTGTGACAGAATATAAAAACATTTGTTTACATTTTCCCTGAACTGTTGACTGAGAAGAAAATATTAAAAGTCCAAAGCAAATTGGCTACAAACCTCAAAACTGTTTTTGTGTGTATTTCTCATTTATAAGCCTATAAGCCAAACGTACCAAACACAAGGCCTGGGGGCCAAATTCGGCCCCCAGTAGGTTTTTATGTGGCCCGTTAGACTACAGAGTTAGGGTGTTTTCGTTTTGGGCCAAATCAAGACCTTGAATGGTCTTGAAGGGCCGGCTGTGATAAAATCTGTTCACAAACTACTGAAATATGAATTAATTCTTAAAAATCAAAGTGTTTGTGGTGCTAATGTCTTATTTATGATGGTAAATTTGACTTTTTATTCGTTGTAGATCCTGGACTATAATCCGACATTTATAAAAATTGTACTTGAACCGTTTAGTAGAAGTATGAAATTATGTATTAACGCAAAAAAAGTTCTGGGATATGTTAATGTTGCGTGAATTTCCACAATAATAATCAAGAAACTGGAGGGACTGATTGATATAAAATAAACAAAATAATTTCTATTTGCTCTATTTATTGTTTTTTCTCTTTCTACCTGTTAGAATATGTTCTCATCTTAACTTGTCTTTGAGTTATTCTGTGTTATCTGTTCATGTTTTCTAATTTACTTTGAAAGGTAAAGCTGCAAGTTCTGTATCCTGTCACTTTGTTTATGTGCATGTTGTACTGCTGTTGTCCACCAGGGGGCAATGAGAGTGAGTTCTTGTGTAAAGGCAGCACTGTTCTAACAAGTGATATAGAGATGAAGTTAACCGAAGGCTGAACGTTAGCAATAAAGTGAACACAGCTATCTAACGAAAAGAAGTGTGATTCATTTTAAAGATGAGTACTGAACAAGAAAAC